CAAGTATTAAGTGCCTACTATTACACTGGACCATGGAATGTCTTATTTTGCATAATTAAGTCTAAGTGGACACATTATTTGTGAATACCTGGAAAAGAAAAAAGTTAGCTCCAGGATTCACCAAGAACAAGTAATTCCCTTTCTTGTCAGGGTTGCTAGACTGGTAAACCCAGGGATTCTCACAAATGTCATGTACCCTAACATCAGTAAGATACTTGACAAAGTCTTCCACGGTGCTCATGGATGAACTGGAGAATGCATAAAGATGACAGTGGGCTGGATTAATAGCTAACTGAACATCCCAAAGGGTGTTGATTAATGGAGGTCTCGATGACGAGTCCCCGGGACTATACTGGACATTGATCAACGATCTCATCAATGACACAGGTAAGTCCACAATGATTAAATAAAAGGATGGCATCAACCTAGGAAGGATAGCTAACATACTGGAGGACAAAAATCAATACTTAAAATATCTTTATTGACTACAACGGGCTAAACCTAACGTGAAATATTTAACTTTGATAAAGAGAATATCCTACATTTAAAAAAATCATTGTACAAATAGATTTTGTACAGTATATTGGGGCATCTGGCTTGATAGCAACTCAAGTGAGTGCCTCACCCTCTGACCCTCCATTTATCTTGGCCATTTACTCCTCTCGGGGTTCCGTTTTACTAAGCGTCCTGTAGTTCCTCTAACCACCATGCTTCTCTCACCACCACGCTGCTCTCTGTGCCTCTACCCAATGGCCCCACAGGCACCCCGTGCCTCCCTCCCAGCAGCACGGCTCAGGCTGTGCTCTCATTGCGTGTTTCCATCCTTGTAGCCTCCACTGGACTGTCGGCTCTGTAAGGAGGGGAAGGTACCCGTCAATTAAGATTCTCCTTGTATCCTGATGAAACCCTTTCTGAACTCAGGTGCTGGCATTTAGTAGACACTCAATAAATATTTGTTGAATTACATGCATGAAGATGAGAAATGGCAACTTGGAAAAGTTAATTTACTGAAGGTCACGCAGCAATGTTGGGAAGAGGACTGGATCCAGGTCAGCCTCATTCCAAAGCCCATGATTTAACTGGCCATTAGCATGTTGGGAGCCCAAGTGGATGCCACGTTACCCATGTGGGTACCAGTTTCCTTTAAATGAGAGTATGGATCTATATGAGGGTGCAGTGTAGGGAAAAGAAGACTGTATAACATAAAGAGATCTAAAATAAAGTCCTGACTCCATGCTGCGTGACCTTGGGCAAGTCACTCAACTTCTCTGGGCCGCAGTTTCTGCGATAATAACATGAGAAGGTTATTCTGGATGGTCTCTGACTTCTCTTGTTAGCTCTGAAATACTGTCATGGAAGGAACTTCCAAGTTGCAGCCTTTTCCATCCTGTAATGACTCTGTTCTCTCTATAGCCAAGCTTACTGAGTTCTCACCTCCTGATCAATTCTCTTCACATTCCAATTTTCCCTCTGCTCCTATCTAGCTACTGACATTGTTCTAAATTAATGGATGATCTCTTAGTGGCCACATCCCAAATCCTCCTTTTAGTTCTCACTCTGTGGACCTCCTGAAGCATTTGAAATCCTCGCCTCTGTGGTCTCTGCTAAACACCTTCCTCTTAGTTTTAATCTCCAGTTTGGGCTGCTTCTCCTGTCTCCAATGCCACTCCCTTATTCCAGGTCCTTTCCGTCTTTCACTACTGTAACCATGTCTTAATTTGTCTCACAGTCTAACCCTCTTCCTCTTTATCTGCCATCAAGCTGGCAAAGCTATTTTCCCCAAATGTAAATCTATCAGCTCATTCCCCAGTTACACACTTGGAAGGCTCCCACTGTCCACAGGATTAGCAAATGCACAAACACCCACTGCTCACACGCTACCACTCATCCTTCTGGAGCCCACTATTCAAGCATAACTTCAGAACTCTTCTTAACACGGATTTCCAGACAGCTACTACCAGTCAGTACCTGTGAACATAGATGGAACCTAGTCATTCACAATCTGGCTCTAATCTGCTTTCCAGCCTCATTTCCTATCACTTTCTTTCCCATCCACACTCCGTGTTCTGTGCGCTTCTCAGCTTCCCTAATGCCATGCCCCTTCAGACCACTTCACCCTTGTACAGTCACGTACCACATAATGACGTTTTGGTCAACAATGAACAGCAGATACGATGGTGGTCCCATAAGGTTAGCGCCACATAGCCTAGGTGTGTAGTAGGCTGTACCATCTAGGATTGTGTAAGTGCACTCTATGATGTTCGCACAATGACGACATTGGATAATGACACATTTCTCAGAACGTGTCCCTGTTGTTAAGCGACGTGTGACTGTTCACGCTAATTATTCTGTCAGGAAAACAATTTTTCTACTGGATGTGGTCAATTCTTACTAATCCTCCCAGAGCCAGTTCAAATATCGCTTTCTTTTGGAGACCTTTCCTGACCAGCAGAGTTGGAAAATAAAAGCTTCTTTTTGTTCTGTTGACATTATATTGCAATGATGTATTTCCATACGTGTTGATCCCCTTCTAACTAGAGCACAGCTTCCTCTGGACTGAGACCACAGCTTGGTCATCTTTTTGTCCTCCCTAGAGCTTACTATAGTAGCTAGAACACAGTAGGTGCCAAATAAATACCTACTGAATGAGTGAAAGACCGAACAGATGATGAACTGAATGACGGGCCTCTAACTGTCCGTATGGTAGGTTTAGAACTCATAGTCCTGCTCATGGACCCTGCCAGGGACACTCCACAGCAGCTCTCTTCTTAGACTCACCTGGTCCTGGGCATGTCAGGAAAGCTCAGAGTTTCATTGATAAAGGACAGTAATAACAATAACAACGACGGTGACAATAGCAATGTTATTGAACGCTTATTATGTGCCAAGACAAAAACTGCTTGCTTTAAGACTTAAAGAACAAGGAGCAGAACAGTCTCTACATATAATTAAAGAGAAGAGCAGAATAAAGATAATTCTGAGGATAAAGAGTAATACTTGGATCTGTTTTCCAAAAATATGACAACTATCTACAACTCCACTGAAAGAGCCTTAGATCATTTATTAATACAATGGGGCCAGAGCCACAGGAAAGACTACTGCTTCTGCACACGTCCGGCTGGGCAGTAAATAACATATTTTTCCCTGATATCATTCTACAGTGGCTCCAGTCAACATAATCCTAAGAAATTTCCCTCCTGGTCAAATCTACATGGATGAAAATTAGCTTAGGTTAGAGTTTCCTAGTGTTTCAAAGAATAACCACAAGATCTGGGAAAAAAAACAAGCGCTAGGTGACAAAACTTTGGGGAGTGATCGTGTGATTGTTGCCTGCTCCTCTTCAACACTCACGATGCCTATTAGCTCATGGGGGATAAGAAGACTGCAGTGAGAACACCTGGGCACTGTGGCTTCACTCAGAAGTCTCCACATGTATTTGTTTAATGAACTTTTTTTTTATAGAAAGCCTTGTCTTTATTTCCATGGAATTAGTATTGGGAAATACTGGTTTTGGAGGTTCCTAGAAACAGTCCCTCTGTCCTGGGATTCTAGCAGTGGGCACACGCAAAGGGGACTGCCATGAAGACCTGCCTGGTTTAGGGAAAGTAAGACTGGCTGCGGTCTGGGCCAGAAGAGACTCATGCCTGGTATTATCATTTACATGATACAAGTTCAACCCTATATGAAGGCTTGGAAGAAAAAGGCCAACTCCTAACTGGTAGTTTGAATTAACAGTTTAGTTATTATGGCTGTCTCACACAGTCACAGGAATTTATATTTTCATTTTATCCCAAAGAAAAACTTGACCATCTTTCTTTAATACTATCCACCTGGAAGCCTGACAGTAAGGATTAAAAATTGCTCCTTCCTTCCCACTTGGTTATTGGAAAGGCTCTGAAAGGTAATCAGTCTTGTGAAGCTACACTTTACAGTCTGCATAAAAATGCCATGATTTCCCTTCCTCTCCCCGAGCTAATTGAAAGTGCATAATATCACCCAGCTGGGGAAATGTGAACGGTAAACACGTGCAATATATCATGCCCTCACACAGAGGCTGGGTACTAACACAGACGGGCTGGTTGTCAGGACCAAAGGAAATCTGGAAAACAAGTCTTTTTTCACCTAGAATCAGAGGTCTCTGTGCCTGCCACCACTGCCCCCTCCCCTACTCCCTCCAGACTTCAAGCTACAGCCAGATTAAACCAAGGTCAACTCATTCCTTGCATGCATAATTCCAAGGGTCACCTAACAATGTATATTGACTAAAACTCTCTTCTATCAGCCTTTCAAGAGATGAGGCATTTTACTTTTGGCAGGAGGTGGGGTTGGAATCACCTTGTTCCCTAGGTACTTCAATTGTACTGACAGATGGTCCTATTATCTCTCTCCTTAGCTGCTAAGCCTAAAGATCCTTGGCCTTGTCACCTCTTATCTTTCTCTACTTCATCAAACTCCGATTGCCAAGATTATCTCCTTTTCAACCTCTGATCATCCATGAATATCTACACAGGATCACATTTTCCTTGAGTATAAAATCCAAGTCTTACTTTTCAAAGTCCTCTGTGCCTCTGCCGCTATCTACAACTCCACCTCAATTACACCGCCTTAGAAGTCATCATTCTCTTCTCTGACTCCTCACCTTCAAGTGTCATGCCATCTTTTTGAATACTTCTTTCACCGTACGGCTCTTAGGAGAAAGGACAGTATTCCTTCAAAGTTTTCCTCACTAGTTCTCTGTCACAATATTCCTTCAAAAATTGCTCCCTGTTGCACCATGAACTCAACTACTGCGATTCATTCATGCCACCTTATAACTGGCTATTGTTTCATTTTTGATGGCTGATACCTTACGGTTAGGTCAAAGCATAGCACTTGTCAAGGGTACTATGTCATTTCAGCCTTAATAGATTGAAGGATATATTTTTATCTATGTCAGCAGTAGAGATGATTTGAAACTTACTGAATTAAAACTACATTCATCTTTCAATAATTTGTATTACCTGTCAGCTGGCATGGGTGGATGGTAAGGCTTGTTGACTTTGGCATAGAGACCCTCTAAGTGGTCTCTCTCTGGAGACAGTGGACGGCCATCCCGAGGGTAAGCCAGTGGTCCAGTCCGTGGGGGAGATGGAGACCTATAGACCGTTGCTGATGCACATGGTTCCCGGAAGTGGTTCACCCTGGCGTAATTGGGGTCCATTTCATCATCGTCCATATCATGCAGTGATCCAATCGCACCAGTAGCATAATCAACAAGACCTCTTGCCTGCTTTTCTCTTAATTCCTGATGTTTTGCTCCAATCCTGAAAAATGTAGAACAGATAGCAGAGACGTGAGTTTATATGCTCATACAATGACATACTCTCCTGAATCTATGTCAACTCTTCCTAGTCAGTCACTTAGCTGTCACTTTCCTGTTTACTCAAGATCACACCATGTAGAAATGCCAACAGCATATTCCATGGGATTAATTTTATAGCTCTGACCTTTATTTGTTACAGGGTCGTTACTTTTATAGCAATGTTATAGGTATTTTAACATCTTGCCCACTGATGACTGGGCTGATGGCAGAGTCAGAGGCTGATTCTCATTAACATCGTCTCCCTACAACTGGGATGTGCTTGTGGGAAGAGCACATCTTTGGTGTAATATTACAGAGTATTCCCTGGGAAGGGGCTGCATGTTAAAGAGCCCATCGGAATCTTACACTTCGTCTATGATTTCACTATTTGGTGCCCTAGAAGTTCCATTGTACTCTTCAAAAGAAAAGAGCTTGCAAAAATTGATTTAAATATGAAAAAGAAATACAGAGGCTTTCTGGTCACTAAAAGCAGTGGGATCAGAGGTAATTTATAAGAGATTCTACGTTTTTTGGTTACACAAATGGGGATCACTATGTCTCATCATACAGGGGCTGGGGACAGAGCAAAATCGTGGAGAAATTAATAGGCTCCTGACAGAGATGGATGGGCACATATAAGTAAATTAAACACCATTACTGGCAGAACTTCATAGCACTAAAGCCTTGAGTGATATTACAAAACGCTGCTGCTAATCAGTGTCCTGTGCAGACTACTGGGAATGAGAGAGGCAAAATATACTTAGGTGGATTCCAAATCCATCTGAAGTTTGAGAATTTGACATCTAATCTGGAAAGTGTTGGATCAGCTCTCCTAAATTCCAAGCTGTGTGTTAGAAGGGAAAGGTCCATGTGGCATCTTATTGGACAAGGGTGATGTGATGGTGCCAGGAGGTGTTCTGAGCGAAAGAGGAAAGAGTGTGACCCCACATCACGGGAGTAAGGATGAGAGGAGTAAGACACCGCCAGCTCGGGCTCAAGAGAGCCTCTCAGGAAAGGACAACATGCCTGCAGGCCTGCACCAGAGAACAGGAGAGGGAGGAGGAAAGATCTACATATGACTGCAGACAGAGAGGGAAGGCCTGGATGAGTGAAAAACAAGAAGAGAGCTCTCCCAGTTTCTTCTCCTCTTCAAACAAAACAGCTGTTTTTGCACATGGCAGCTAGTTTTATTCTACAGAACATTAAAGTCTTCGTAAAAATCTTTAACAGCCATGAGTTTTCGAAGTGTTTTCTCTTTTGGCAGAACGGGTTTTTTTTTTGAGTAGAGAAAGGGAGAAAAGAAAAAGGGAAGGAAAAAAAAAGACCAAGAAGAAGGTATAGGACAAAAACTTAGTTAGCATCTATCCTCAAGTCACAACAGATGAAAATAAATGCCAGGATACATTATTGCTTATCTCTTTGACTAGGTCAAGTCATGTACTCTACACATCAGTAATTAGAAGAATTTATATTTTTGCAAACGGCAGCTTGACTCTCCAAGGGATTTTGAATGAAGATGAAAGGATGATTACACAGGAGGGTACCCCTTAGGAGGCCCTGCCTGTCTCTTTTCAATGCATGTTAGTCCTAGATTCATGGATGTTTGTTTTGAATAATTTTTGATAAAGAAGATAACCTGCTCCATTCTGCAACAAAACAATCTTTCCAGGGACAGTGCAGGCTGGATTATCAGAGAATGCTTGCTGCGCTATGACAAGAGTGATGGATTTCCATTGCAAATAGAGCACAGGACATCAATAAAGTGAGGGAGTGAGATTCTGTGTGGTTAGTATCCCTCCTAAGTGGGATGCCTTCAAGAGAAATCATTCAGCAGAAAGACGAACATCTCATGCCTGCCACGTGGGGCTACATGTGTGCATTAATGACAGAGGAAAACACTACGCTTGATTTTTAAAAATCACAGAAATAGAACACTAGTATCTGTGTTCCTTATTTCATCATTTCTCTTTCTCAGAGGTTTTCTCATTAATTAAGCTTGCTGAGTATGTAAAGATTCTTGGAAGAAAAGTACTCTGTGTATGCAAAGCAGTATTTTATCTTGCATTTTTCCTTCCTAAAACAAAACCAAATTTCTCCCTGATCCTCTCTGCACCGCTGGGCATTTCAGTAACTAACTTCATATTAATCACTCAGTTGGTGAAATAGTAATTTCTCTGAATCATCATTATTATGCCACATATCAGGGTCTCTTGTGTGGGGAGGACAAGGCAATATCAGAAAAGGGGTGTATGGAGGCAGAAGAGACTCTCTCAAGAGAGAAATGTCAAGGAGATAGATTCTTTTGGTAGCTCCGAACTCCCTCTGCCCCAATTCATTGTGAGAATTCTAATTGTTTATAGTCATTCCCACCTGGAGGTCTCCTTACTACTGGAAACTCAACCTGTTAAATCTATTTTTCACAATAGCCCTTGATAATATACCCTTTTTATTTGATGGTACCACCAGCTTCCCCATTCTCCCCAGCACACTGCCTTTGAATTGTTTATATCTCTTCTCTCTCTCTCCCCTCTCTCTCCCTCTATGGAAACATTGTTTCTTTTTTCTATTACACCTCTTGGATATCCTCTTTTATTTCCATCTCTTTAGCCACAGTCTAGTGTTCAAAGTTTATATTGTCCAGATCTGCACTGTCCAATATGGTGGCCATTAGCCATATGATGCTATATAAATTTAAATTAGAATTATTGTCAATTAAATAAAATTTAAGATTCAGCTTCTCAGTTTCACAAATCACATTTCAAGTGCTCAGTAGCCACATGTGGCTTGTGACTACTATATTGGACACTGCAGATATAGATGAATTCCAGAACTGCAGAGAGTTCTATTGGACTGTGCTGGCCCAGATTAGTCTAAGATTTTCGGTATGTCACCACATACCACTTTAATCTATACCTTAAAAGCCTGCTTGAATCATCTTCCTCAAAGAGCATTTCCATCATATCTCTGTCAGATCAAGGACCTCTAACAGGAGATTGTAATAAATGATGGAGTAAGAGTGTGGTTAATTTACTTCCCTCCATGAGATGCTAAATGAACAAACAATTGAGAAATTGAGAAGAAAATTCCATCTACAATGGAATTAGAAAATGGCCATGATGTTATAACATGCAGTGAAATTTGGACTGAACCCAAAGAGGGTGGAACACCAAGAGGTGATATGCACCACGTGTCCAGCAGGTGTACATTTCACTGAAAGTAAGAGCGAGAGTCCAGAGGACTACAGACTACAAACTTGCATTTAGGAAAAGAGGGTCTGAAGACCCAGACCCTGGAATTGTGGGGTCAATCTCTGTAGGTTCCAACTTCAGAATGGAGGAGAAGTAGGGTCAGAAGAGAGATGTTTCCTCTGAGAGATATATTTCCTTCTCCCCTGAAGAAACTTCACGGAGGTCAATGGGGAGAAGAGAGGAAGCTCCAACCTGCTCTGGAGCTGACAGGCAGAATCAGCAGAGCAGAGAGAAACACACAAACTCGTCAAAATGAAACCAAGATCTCAGAGACTTCACTAAGTAGGCTGTTAGGGTGTTCTTAGGGTGATCTGCTCTCTCAAAATGGAAGACCGTAGAAAACAAGCCCTCAGGGCAGTGCACCCAACAGATTTGGCAAAAAGATATCTTGAGAAAGTGTATGGAATTGAAGCTGCTGGTGGCTCTAGACCTCTACGCCCGTGTCAGCTAACACTAAATTTTAGCACAGATTTCTTTTAAACATTGTAGAACATGACATTAATGGGTCATAACAAGCATTTTAAAAATTAAATACAATAAAAGAGAAAATATTAGGGCTTACTGCACGTAGTAAGCATAAGTATTGTTTCAAGAAGGAGAAAAATTAAGTCATCTAAACATTCAGGCAAATTCCAGCTAGCCTCAAACATGCATAAAGACAAAAGAAAAACATTCTCAAAATTTAAAAACTCAAGGGAATATAACACTTGTTGACCCATCTTGAAAAACTACTTAACAATGACAGCAGCCAACTGAGGCTGAATGAAAACGAGGAATTCAAGCTGGTAAAGCAGTGGAGTGACAGGTGTGGAGGTGAGCAGCACATTCATAGAAAGATAAAACTACGGCTAAATGACTGTAGCAACATAACTACAGAGAAAAAAACAAATGTCCTAAACTCGGACAATAGAAAAATAATATCACTAATGAAAATCAGACGCCAGTAAGGAGGTGAGTTAGGAGAAAGCATTACTATGCAACTGTGTTCACTTCCTCACCTTTAAAGCAGGCATCAGTAGGTTACTGTTTAAAGTTGATAAATCAAGAACAGAGGGTTAGTATATTAAATATAATTACAAAAAACTACTACAACAACCAGTTATCAGGAGAAGAGAAATGCATAGAACAAAACCCCCACATAAAAAATAGAAAACGAAGAAAGCAGTAAAAAGAAAGTAACATAACATCAGATGACCAGATTTATCTTTTCTGACAATAAATGAAAACGGAACAAATTTCTTTATTATAACTAAAGGATCCCAGATATAATGAAAAAGGAAAACACGCTATGTGCTATCAAAATAGTGAAAAATGGGGAACAGCATTAATGTGCACTAATAGGAGATGACAAAAGAAATACTGGGCAGCTTAAAAAATAGGGTCATACTATTCCTACACTAAAGGAAGTAGATAGACACATGGGTCTGGATACATATAAACACCTGTGTCATGTATGTATGTGTACTTGCACATGCATAGAAAATGTCTGGAAAGATACACAAAAGTTCATAATAGTGACTGCCTCTGGAGAGTGGAATTGGAGGTATACTATCTGCATTTTTATGTCATATATTTTTAGGATAATTTTAAAGATTTAAAAAATATAAAGAAGTCCCTTACAACTATATGCTGACTGTTGTAGTGAATCAAAACTTTAAAAAACAAAACCCCAAAACATTCAACAGGTACCAGCAGGCATCCTTGTCCTCCAAAC